GTGCTTTGACGTTCTGTCCTCCAGCTTTGCCGTCTTTCTTTTCTGTCTCTTCGCACAGATCACTAATGCGAGAATCATCAACTATGCCATTTGTGATGTCGTCTCCAGCAGTGACATCATCATCTATGCCATTGTGGTGACGTCATCATCTATGCCATTTGTTGTGACGTCACCAGCAGCAACGTCACCAACAATAAAGCCATCAGCTATGTTGTTGGCCGAGGCAACATCGTCGAGGATGACGTCGTCGACAATGAGCGGCGGCGCCATCTCATGGTCGCACTTTGACTGCTTTGCATCCTCGTTCCTCCCGGCGACTCCCTCCACTTCCTTTTCCTCTTCTTCCACCTTATCTTCCTCCTCCATCTCCTTCTTGTCTTCCTTCTCTCTCAGCTCCTCTTCCTTCTCTGCAGTGGTGGTGATGACCGCCTCACCAAAGACGTAGTTGGGGGTCGTGCTATAGGGGAGCTGCCGTTGCTGTCGTCTTCTTCCATTCTTTTGCTGAATATGGCATGTGTTGGTTGTCCGCGTTCCTCAGGTTGTTGTAGATCTTCGTGTTGTTTCGCTTTCTCGTCTTTTGTATGCGACGTCATCTTGTTGATCACCTGCTTTGACGTTCTGTCCTCCAGCTTTGCCGTCTTTCTTTTCTGTCTCTTCGCACAGATCACTAATGCGAGACTCATCATCTATGCCATTTGTGATGTCGTCACCAGCAGTGACATTATCATCTATGCCATTTCTGGTGACGTCATCATCTATGCCATTTGTGGTGACGTCATCATCTATGCCATTTGTTGTGACGTCACCAGCAGCAACGTCACCAACAATGAAGCCATCAGCTATGTTGTTGCCAACGGCAACATCGTCGAGGATGACGTCGTCGACAATGAGCGGCGGCGCCATCTCATGGTCGCATTTCGACTGCTTTGCATCCTCGTGCCTTCCGGCGACTCCCTCCACTTCCTTTTCCTCTTCTTCCACCTTATCTTCCTCCTCCATCTCCTTCTTGTCTTCCTTCTCTCTCAGCTCCTCTTCCTTCTCTGCAGTGTGTGTGGGGACGCCTCACCAAAGACGTAGTTGGGGGTCGTGCTATAGGGGGAGCTGCCGTTGCTGTCGTCTTCTTCCAATTCTTTTGCTGAATATGGCATGTGTTGGTTGTCCGGTTCCTCAGGTCCTTGTAGCTCTTCTGGTGTTTCGCTTTCTCGTCTTTTGTATGCGACGTCATCTTGTTGATCATCTGCTTCGACGTTCTGTCCTCCTGCTTTGCCGTCTTTCTTTTCTGTCTCTTCGCACAGGTCACTAATGCGAGACTGATCATCTATGCCATTAGTGATGTCATCATCATATATGCCATTTGTGGTGACGTCATCATCTATGCCATTCGTTGTGACGTCACCAGCAGCAACGTCACCAAGAATGAAGCCATCAGCTATGTTGTTGCCGACGGCAACATCGTCGAGGTTGACGTCGTTGACAACGAGCGGCGGCGCCATCTCGTGGTCGAACTTCGACGGCTTGGCATCCTCGTGCCTCCCGGCGACTCCCTCCTCTTCCTTTTCCTCTTCTTCCACCTTATCTTCCTCCTCCATCTCCTTCCTGTCTTCCTTCTCTCTCAGCTCCTCTTCCTTCTCTGCAGTGGTGGTGGGGACCGCCTCGCCAAATACATAGTTAGGGGTCGTGCTATAGGGGGAGCTGCCGTTGCTGTCGTCTTCTTCCGATTCTTTCGCTGAAGATGGCATGTGTTGGTTGTCCGGTTCCTCAGGTCCTTGTAGCTCTTCTGGTGTTTCACTTTCTCGTCTTTTGTATGCGACGTCTTCTTGTTGATCACCTGCTTTGACGTTCTGTCCTCCTGCTTTGCCGTCTTTCTTTCCTGTCTCTTCGCACAGGTCACTAATGCGAGACTCATCATCTATGCCATTTGTGATGTCGTCACCAGCAGTGACATCATCATCTATGCAATTTGTGGTGACGTCATCATCTATGCCATTTGTTGTGACGTCACCAGTAGCAACGTCACCAACAATGAAGCCATCAGCTATGTTGTTGCCAACGGCAACATCGTCGAGGATGACGTTGTCGACAACGAGCGGCGGCGCCATCTCGTGGTCGCACTTCGACTGCTTTGCATCCTCGTGCCTCCCGGCGACTCCCTCCTCTTCCTTTTTCTCTCTTCCACCTTATCTTCCTCCTCCATCTCCTTATTGTCTTCCATTCTCTCAGCTCCTCTTCCTTCTCTGCAGTGGTGGTGGGACTGCCTCCCAAATACGTAGTTGGGTCGTGCTATAGGGGAGCTGCCGTTGCTGTCGTCTCTTTCCGATTCTTTGCTGAAGATGGCATGTGTTGGTTGTTCGGTTCCTCAGGTTCTTGTAGCTCTTCTGGTGTTTCGCTTTCTCGTCTTTTGTATGCAACGTCATCTTGTTGATCTCCTGCTTCGACGTTCTGTCCTCCTGCTTTGCCGTCTTTCTTTCCTGTCTCTTCGCACAGGTCACTAATGCGAGACTCATCATCTATGCCATTTCTGATGTCGTCACCAGCCGTGACATCATCATCTATGCCATTTGTGGTGACGTCATCATCTATGCCATTTGTTGTGACGTCACCAGCAGCAACGTCACCAACAATAAAGCCATCAGCTATGTTGTTGCCGACGGCAACATCGTCGAGGATGACGTCGTCGACAATGAGCGGCGGCGCCATCTCATGGTCGCACTTTGACTGCTTTGCATCCTCGTTCCTCCGGCGACTCCTCCACTTCCTTTTCCTCTTCTCCACCTTATCTTCCTCCTCATCTCCTTCTTGTCTTCCTTCTCTCTCAGCTCCTCTTCCTTCTCTGCAGTGGTGGTGGGACCGCCTCACCAAAGACGTAGTTGGGGTCGTGCTATTAGGGGAGCTGCCGTTGCTGCCGTCTTCTTCAATTCTTTTGCTGAATATGGCATGTGTTGGTTGTCCGGTTCCTCAGGTTGTTGTAGCTCTTCTGGTGTTTCGCTTTCTCGTCTTTTGTATGCGACGTCATCTTGTTGATCACCTGCTTTGACGTTCTGTCCTCCAGCTTTGCCGTCTTTCTTTTCTGTCTCTTCGCACAGATCACTAATGCGAGACTCATCACTATGCCATTTGTGATGTCGTCACCAGCATGACATTATCATCTATGCCATTTCTGGTGACGTCATCATCTATGCCATTTGTGGTGACGTCATCATCTATGCCATTGTTGTGACGTCCCCAGCAGCAACGTCACCAACAATGAAGCCATCAGCTATGTTGTTGAACGGCAACATCGTCGAGGATGACGTCGTCGACAAATGAGCGGCGGCGCCATCTCATGGTCGCATTCGACTGCTTTGCATCTCGTGCCTTCCGGCGACTCCCTCCACTTCCTTTTCCTCTTCTTCCACCTTATCTTCCTCCTTCCATCTCCTTCTTGTCTTCCTTCTCTCTCAGCTCCTCTTCCTTCTCTGCAGTGGTGGTGGGGACCGCCTCACCAAAGACGTAGTTGGGGGTCGTGCTATAGGGGGAGCTGCCGTTGCTGTCGTCTTCTTCCAATTCTTTTGCTGAATATGGCATGTGTTGGTTGTCCGTTCCTCAGGTCCTTGTAGCTCTTCTGGTGTTCGCTTTCTCGTCTTTTGTATGCCGACGTCATCTTGTTGATCATCTGCTTCGACGTTCTGTCCTCCTGCTTGCCGTCTTTCTTTTTGTCTCTTCGCACAGGTCACTAATGCGAGACTGATCATTCTATGCCATTAGTGATGTCATCATCATATTATGCCATTTGTGGTGACGTCATCATCTATGCCATTCGTTGTGACGTCACCAGCAGCAAGCGTCACAAGAATGAAGCCATCAGCTATGTTGTTGCCGCGGCAACATCGTCGAGGTTGACGTCGTGACAACGAGCGGCGGCGCCTATCTCGTGTCGACTTCGACGCTTGCATCCTCGTGCCTCCGCGACCTCCTCCTCCTTCCTTTTCCTCTCTTCCACCTTATCTCCTCCTCCATCTCCTTCCTGTCTTCCTTCTCTCTCAGCTCCTCTTCCTTCTCTGCAGTGTGGTGGGGACCGCCTCCAAATACGTAGTGTGGGGTCGTGCTATAGGGGGAGCTGCCGTTGCTGTCGTCTTCTTTCGATTCTTTTGCTGAAGATGCATGTGTTGGTTGTTCGGTTCCTCAGGTCCTTGTAGCTCTTCTGGTGTTTCGCTTCTCGTCTTTTGTATGCACGTCATCTGTTGATCCTGCTTCGACGTTCTGTCCTCCTGCTTTGCCGTCTTTCTTTCTGTCTCTTCGCACAGGTCACTAATGCGAGACTCATCATCTATGCCATTTCTGATGGTCGTCACCACGTGACATCATCATCTATGCCATTTGTGGTAACGTCATCATCTATGCTATTCGTTGTGACGTCACCAGCAGCAACGTCACCAACAATAAAGCCATCAGCTATGTTGTTGCCGACGCAAAATCGTCGAGGATGACGTCGTCGACAAATGAGCGGCGGCGCCATCTCATGGTCGCACTTCGACTGCTTTGCATCCTCGTCCTCCGGCGACTCCTCCACTTCCTTTTTCTCTTCTCCACCTTATCTTCCTCCTCCATCTCCTTCTTGTCTTCCTTCTCTCTCAGCTCCTCTTCCTTCTCTGCAGTGGTGGTGGGGACCGCCTCACCAAAGACGTAGTTGGGGGTCGTGCTATAGGGGGAGCTGCCGTTGCTGTCGTCTTCTTCCAATTCTTTTGCTGAATATGGCATGTGTTGGTTGTCCGGTTCCTCAGGTTGTTGTAGCTCTTCTGGTGTTTCGCTTTCTCGTCTTTTGTTATGCGACGTCATCTTGTTGATCACGCGTCTTGACGTTCTGTCCTCACACTTTGCCGTCTTTCTTTTCTGTCTCTTCGCACAGATCACTAATGCGAGACTCATCATCTATGCCATTTGTGATGTCGTCACCAGCAGTGACATTATCATCTATGCCATTTGTGATGTCGTCACGCAGTGACATTAATCATCTATGCATTTCTGTGACGTCATCATCTATGCCATTTGTGGTGACGTCATCATCTATGCATTTGTTGTGACGTCACCAGCAGCAACGTCACCAACATAAAGCCATCAGCTATGTTGTTGCCGACGGCAACATCGTCGAGGATGACGTCGTGACAAGAGCGGCGGCGCCATCTCTGGTCGAACTTCGACGGCTTTGCATCCTCGTGCCTCCGCGCGACTCCCTCCACTTCCTTGCTCTTCTTCCACCTTATCTCCCCTCCATCTCCTTCTTGTCTTCCTTCTCTCTCAGCTCCTCTTCTTTCTCTGCAGTGGTGGTGAGGACCGCCTCACCAAATACGTAGTTGGGGTCGTGCTATAGGGAGCTCCGTTGCTGTCGTCTTCTTCGA